TACTGTAGTACTTTTTCTAAAAAAAAAGTCAATACCTCTGTCTTAGGAATAAGTTTACATTGACAACCGCTTCCAGTAGTTAGTAAAATAACTTAATACTATGACAGAGTCAAACGCTAAAAAGAGTTAGCAAATAAAAATGTGTAAATAAACAGAATAAGCTTACAATGTGAAACACTATTTGAAAAAAGTAGTGGTTTGTCATCAAACTCATAATTAAAGTGGAAATATATGAGATTTTCAGGTGCATTTTTCAAGTAAAGATTTTATCAAATTTTAATATTTTTTTGCAAGTAAAGCAATGTCAAAAACTTGCTCGTATTTTTTAATACATTAGCGATAGCGCAGTAAACTCAGAATCTTTAGACAGGTTGAAAGCTGTTTTTTGTTTTAAGTCATCAGAGTTGAGACTTCTGTCAGTGTCACCTAAATAAACCGTTTCTGTAACACCAAAAGCAACTGTTGTTAACCTATATTTGTTTTTTACTCTTTAAGTAGTTCTGCAAAAATTCTAACTCTTTTGATTTGGTTAACTGTTCAGCAGTTATCCTAACGATAGACTAGAAGAAGTTAATCTTTATGTAATCCTTTGTGAAATTAATGTATACTACAGAGCGGCAGTGTTGAATGTAACAGTCTTCGTGAATAAACTTAAAATAAAACTGTGTATTACAGAAATTATATCATAAAGACTTTTTGCAGATTATCTACTAGTCTGATGCTTGGGAAACGAAACTTCTGTTGAAAAAAATTTTTTTTTGTTTTAAAAACCTATCAGGTTGAAAATTTTTTTGAAAAGTAACATAAAGCAAAAATTATACACGTATGTATCTAACTGTTTAAACAAGTACAATTGAAAAACATTTCTGAACTGTCTTTTGCATTCACTAATGATACTACTACCAATATCAACCCCATGTTTCTTAAGAATTTTTACGAGCAATATTGTTTGCCTGCTGAGACCTGGTTTATGCATTTCACTTAAACATCTATCAATACTTTTATTCAAAAAAAAGTAAACAATTTTAAGTTGGCATAAGTAATATTAAATGAATTGGAAAATACAGTTTTTACAAGTTACTTTTGCGATTATCAACCTCACTGTAGCAACTGGTCAACGGTACTCTGAATGAGCCTTTACTCTCAACCTCTATTTCTATAATCTATAATTGCATTCAGCTTTCGGCTTCGTTTCTTCTTCTAATAATGTAAATTTTGATACTTTAAAAACAATAAAAATTTGTTTTAATGTTCAAACTGTTTCTAAACTTCCAATCACAGTTTATAAATCAAAGTATAGTTATTAACAGCAAAAAGAAATTTTCATCTGTCACCACTTAATTAGTGATAAAAAAACTGACTTTTAAAGTAGCGGTTTTTTGATGCTCGTCGGTTAATTAGAGTACTTGAGATTAGTATTATTTTGCCCAGGTTATGTTTCAACTCTGCTTTTTGTACAGTTTTCAGGAACTACAGTTTGCATAGTAATAATATAATAAAAATAAACTTTCAAAAATAAAGATTTAAATTTTACTTTGCTGTCTCTTTGTAAGTGCAAATAACTTATGCAAAAACGTTTTTTTCCACATTTTTTATGTAAGGAAAAAAGTTTGTGGTTTCTTGTAAAAACTGAAGATGGGAAAATGTTTTATGGTTTTTGGAACAACATTTTTTTGTTTATGAAAAAATTGTTTACAAAACCAAAAAAAAGAGAACATTATCTTCAGCGCAGTAGTCTTTGTAATAAAAAATTTATATAGTACATAATATAATAGCTAATTTTACGTTAGTGTTCAGCTTCATCTAAATTTAATTCTATTTTACTCATACTTTTCATAAAATCAACAAATGAATTCTAAAACTTCATTATTTGATTTTTGGTTTTTTGTAACAGATTATGCACAGAAAAAAGTCTACTAAAACCAGAAAACTGCTAGTAGTTCTAAGCAATATTTTTTGAAGACACAGAACTTGCAATTGTTTAGGTTTTCTTTTCACAGTTTCGGTAAATGATTACTCTAATCTCTTTTATCAAAGAGAGGCTGGTTTTTTACTAACAACAATCCCTCCTTTTAAACAAAACCTTTGCTTTCTTATTTAGGTTAGTGTGCTTAAAGTCAGGGCACGGCTAAGAGGAAACGACAAGTTAGGTATTTGTCGTTGGTGGCGACCAGATAAATTTGAAATAGCGCTGTGCCTCTTTGAAATATCACAAAAAAAAGATATTCATTGATTAATCTCAACTAATTGAAACGTTGAAAAGAGGATGCATAATGAGTGCATACATTGAAAATTTGTGCAAAGGAAGTGACCTGACAGTCTTGAAAAAAAAAAAAGCAAACAGGAAGTGGATTGATATTTCAAAGTGAGGTTGTCTGCAGTAACTGTAAAAGGTTTGGCATGAAGTATACGATTATATAAGTATATAATAAATAATTTTTCAAAATCTTTTATTATTTTTAACTGCTGCTGACACTTTGTTTCACCATTCTGCATACTCATTAATTTTTCTGTCATCTTCTTTGCTTTTGCATTTTCTTCAGACATGATACGAAGGTTTTTGAGAAGTTCCTAGAGTAGATTTAACTTGACACTGAACTTCTATTCCCGTTGTTAAAGTTTTCTTTTCTTTTCTTTCATTTTCAGTATCACTATCAGTGTGGTATTTCAGGTAAACGTTTACTCTATCGAAACAAGCACTAAATTCAAACCTATTTGAAACCTCTAATTGAAGCTTCTATAGTTTGTACAGACTTTTAAATTATAAAGTACAGCACCTGAAAAAATAGGTAGTATTTGAATAATAATAGTACTGTTGCTTTTTAAAATTAACAAAAAACTTTAAATCTTAGCTTTAAATTTCTATTATCTTACTCATTGTAAGTAGAATACCGTCAGTGAAGTAGACCTAAAATTTCTAACTGAACAAATGGAATTACCTCGCATTGAACAGTAAACACTACGAAAAACTTTAAAATGTATATTGCTGCCAACGAAGAACTGAAGTAATGCAGAGAAAAATCTGCGATCAAAAATTGCAAAACGAAGAAAAGTACAGGGAAAAAGTAAAATACTTGGATTATTAATTGCATAAGTGCCTAAAGATTTTTTCGCTTGGATTTTTTCAGAACTGCTTTAAAAGTTAGCGGTTAATGAATTCTGATACATTAAAAACTGAGTAATACGTTTCACACTTCTCATCCTAACAAAATAATACGTTTAATTAGCCTTCCCCAATCATTGTAGTGATTGCCTGAATCAAATAGCAGCAGTCGAGTAACTATTATAAAGCTGTCACGTCGTAATTGCGTTTTCCAGGGCAATCGGTTATATTAAACAAATAAAAAACAAAAATTATTTGTTAGCTTAGTCAGAAAAATTTGATCGTTGTTTAAAATATCTATTAGAAAAGATAAAATAATAAATTAGAGTGGAAAAAATAAGAAAAAATTTATGAAGCAAAAGAAAAACGGCAATAGAAACAGGCGAACGATTAACGTTTAAAAAATTAGGTTAAATTATTTTTATTAAAGCCATTGACCATCTTGGCACAAAAAGAAAATGTGAAGTAGTAATCTAAAATTTTTTAATTCAAATTAGAAGTAATTAGACAATACTAAAATAAAAAACTTTTAAAAATTGGGAAGAAAAAGGAATAAAACTAAATTTATAGTCATCTTCGCATATATAAGTGAAATACACTAATATTTGTAAATTTTTGCTTTGGTAGTACCATAATTGCTTCATCTGTAATTCAGAAAATCTAAACAATTTTATTTGTTTATTTTGAAGTACAAATTTTTAATGTCTTACTTTTAATGTACCTTTAGCTACGCAAACTTAGATACCGTTCAAGTCAGACTATACTCAAAGTTTAAAAGTTGCTATACATTCAAAACTGCTTCAAAATAATACCTAAAGGTTTACTTGTGACTGTTCATTACAAGAACATTTTGAACCTACTAAAAGTAACTGCAACTTGTATCAGCAGCAGCAATTACAACTTTATTCCTACATTTGTACTTTGTTTACACACTGTTATATTGTAGTATCTTTGTTGGATAAACGCTGAAAAAGTAATCTATATTTCTTTGAAGATTTACTATTTTGCAGAACACTTTCCTAAAAAGACGTCCGACATGCTTCAAAATAACATCAGCCAAAAACTTTTAATTAATCTACTGAGCTGAACCGATAAAATTAAACCCGAGATAGAAATTATATTTTATTAAGTAATTCAAACCTCATTACAAAACATAAGAAAATGTGTAAACAACAGACATTTATAGCAAACTTTTGGTAACTCTTTTTGTAAGAACACCAGGACTTTCCGCGAAATGCTAACCAGCGCCATCAATACTGTAGCTTCAGCATTGTCATCCTAAACACTGCTTGCAAAAAGTGTCCATTAGAAACTTTTTTGACGTAGTAAGGTGTAAAAAAAAAAAAGTTGAAAAGGAAGATTAACCAACGATTAAGCGCCAACGGAACTCTTCAAAGCTAAATTTTGAATAAAAACCAAGTCCAAGTAAAACTGGACGCAAAATAAAAAAGATGGTTACTCGTAAAAACCTTTTCAAAGTTCCAGTTGTTAAAAAGTGTCGATGACATGCTAAAAAAATGCAGAGTAATTAGCCAAACACTTATAAGTGCATAAATCTATTAACTGTACTAGCAAGCAAACTTAAAAAAAAAATGCTACGGCACCGATCAAAGTTCTTAAAGCTGTTTAAAATACATATATATGTACATCAAACTGGGAAGGAAAGGAAACACCGCCAACGTTCCAGTGTAGTGTTTTTGTGCATGACGGCTGATGTACATTTTAAATTAAAAAGCTGGATATTTATGAAACAACGAAAATTAACAATTTCTATTTGAGAAACTTCAGCATCAAGTGGAAGAAGCTAACAACCAACAGCGCTTCTGAGCACGGCATAATTCTTTCGCATATATTTCACTGGAATGCAGCTGTTGAGCAATCAGGTATAAGCGTAAAATTAAAAAGTAAATGCTGATACAAGTTGCGATGGATTTTTTGTCAAACACTTGCAGTTGTGCAGAAATATGTTGCCGAAGTCGTAGCACTGCGCGCACCAACCAAGACCAAATAAATCCTTGCAAGTATTTGTGACGATATCCCAAGCACAACCAAGAGTATCATCATGATTTTGACTTCCATCCATTGCTGGAACTGCTGCTGGATTAGTGTTTGCAATAATTGCATTTTCTGCCGGTAGCCGATCTACGGTGTTAACTGGAGCTTGAGGTAATGGTATAGCATTCGGTATCACCGCTTGACGTGCAACCGAATTATCGGTGATTGGTTGGATGATAAACTGGGGAACACTTACAGCTGGTGTTGGATGAACACTTTTGAATTCAGGAACCACAACTTGTTTTGTGTATGTTGAAATCTGTGACTGCCGATGAGTAGTAGACGAATAATGTACAATATTTGGCACTTGAGTAGTTACGGTGTCCGTTTCCGTAGTTCTCAGAGATGTTAATGAAGGTAATGTTGTTGTCATTGTTGTTGTTTTTGTTGTTGCAGCTGTAGCTGTAGTTGTTGTCATCGATGGTGAGGATGACGATGATGTTGAAGATGGTGTTGATGGTATTGGTGTTAACGGTGATGATTTTTGCGTCATCTTTGTTTTCGGCGCTAATGTTGTGGATCGCTGCAAATAGCTGACGGTTTCAACTGTAGTTCGCTTCATTTGTTTCTGAAGATCAAGTTCTTCTTGAACAAGATTGCTGTGAAGATATGCTTCGCCGCCAGAATTGGTCTTTTGTTCGGGCGTTTTGGTGGTCTTAAGACCTAAAGTAAATTTCAAATACAGCACAACAGTTTAATATGTAATTGTCAGATTACTGCTATTTAGTCATATAGTTTTGGTATTAATTATGGCAAGAAGCGCTTGTAAAGTCTACAAAAGTTTCTTTGAGCTATATACTTACCATTCAAATGAATAGGTGTTACTTCTTTTTGCGGAACTCCATTAGCTTTTATCACAGGAATATACACTTCTTGCAGTTTTCGCCGTTGTTCATATCTCTTACGTTCCTGAGGAATTACAGACTTTGTGGGTAAGGATATCATTTCTGCAGTCTGTCGCTGTTTAGACATTACTACTCGACTTTCAAGCGTTCGGTTTCTTATGATTGGTACTAAAATTTCGAATATAATAATGGACTTAACAAATCTGATTGTAGTTTCTTCTAAAATGATTGCTTAGTCGCACCCTTATTTTATCAAAAGTTGGAGTGGTGGTGTTTTGTCAAAATCATCTCTCCTTTTTTTTTTTTCAAAATTCTTTTTGGCGGAGTAAAAGGTATATTATTTCTGAAGATAGCGTGCTACATTTGGTTCAAGTTCTTTTTTAGTGAAAAAGTATAGAGAACTAAATAAATTGACGTCAACTGTTGAATGGACTTTCAAAATGTTCAAGTTTTAGTCTAGTTCCAAAGAACATTTCACAAACAACTTTCAGGGGTTTGAAGTCAGAAAAAAATTTTACTGAAAAATTAGGAGTTTAACAGCAAGGTTTTTGATAGAACTTTTAAGCTTCCTCGTTAATTGGTTTTGCCTACGTTAACTTTAATAGTTTTAAAATACATAAAAAATCCCAATACAATTCATTTTTTCTTGTTTTCCTTTAATCGTAAAGTAAGCGTTAAATAGTCACAAAAAATTTGGAAAATTTGTTTGACTAGTAAAATTGGTAGGCGAGATAAGTTTACTGTGACGTATAAGTGTTTTCAGCTCAAAAGCAGAAATTTAGAATATTTTGCTTTGGTGAAACTTCCTTTTAACCCTTTTTTAGTTTTCAACAAATTAGGCTGACAAAACTGCCAATTTTTTAAACTAAGTCATAAATCTAATCTTTTTTCTTGAAAAGATGAAAGTTTTTTATAAGATAAAATTTAAGGTCGTTATTCAATTTCAAGATTTCTGAATAGGTCTAATTTTCCGATTTTTTAGTGTTTCATTAGAAGAGTACATTTAATTAGGTTACCTTTATATTTACGGTATTGCATGACATGCTTCTGTTGCTCTTTTGGCGAAATTAATGTCAAAAGTCTCGGACTGTCGTCGGTCGAAAGTCGGCTTTGAGAATGCTTGTAAATACTGGGACTAGCAGGCCAAACCAGAGTTTCGTAGTTGCTCACCTCCCGCGAGTAGCAGTAAACAGCGGCAATCAGTGGTAACAATACCAACAAGTTTGAAAAATCAAAAAGCATTCTAAAAAGTATCTATATTTTAAAATTCTTCTAAATTTAAATTGTTAATTTTAGCGCAAGATAAATTAAAAATAAATGGTTTTAAAATAGATGATACATCTTTTACTAATCATGTAGCCTTGTAGAATGCTTAAACATGACGCCTGCTTGCAAATGTTTTTAAAATATGAAAATATGCCTTGAAGTTTTTCAAGTCAAAAAATGACAGAAAGTAATGGACGTTTTAAGGTTTTGGCTTATATTGACAATGAATCTCAAAAAATACTATCCAGCCAAAAAAAAATATGAACACGATAAAGATTTTTCTATATTCAGACTTAATTCTTAGCAAGCTTCTCTAACAGTTTTAACAATACTTTGTCTTTTTGTAATTTCTACTTTTTGAGTAAAATAGGCATAATTTGAATTTAGCTTTTTTTCTACCACTTTCTTACTTATTAACATAGTTATCAAGAACTTAAAGCTAAAACACATTACTTTTATGATACCAAAAAACACAACTTAGTAACGACCATAGTGAAAAAAGTGACAATACCAGTTGTACACTAACTTTTTTATTTTACTATAAATAGAGGTTTTTTTGGAGTCTTAGACGCATCAATAACTTACTTAGGTGATAAAAACAATAGTATACGTACATATGTGTTAAGACTGCTACATGAATACACCTATATTAGTGACGAATTAACAACGAATTGAAAAAAATCATCAAAATGCGGAAATTTGTTGGCAGCAAAAAGGAAAGGCTGCTGAGACGTTTGAAAGATATATGGACGAAATTCGTAAGACGAGTGAAATCAATAATTGAAGAATTATTGATGATTTCATAAAACCGATCAGGTCGTTGGACGTGGTCATTTGCAATCGGAAAAATCATGGCGAAAAATTCTTTGAAATGCCAATACAATCCAAAACTGTACTGTTGCTCCATAAATCCACCCCCTGTCAGTTTCTCTTATCCCGCTGATAGACATCTCCTCTCTCTTCCTTTTTAATCTCATAAACTTTTTCTAACTCGAACGTTGTCCAGATCAAACGATACTTAGGAAGAAGATTTGAACGGCAAGACGGAGACAGAGTTTAACTCACTAGATTTTTGCAGTCTTAATCTCATTTATGCAAATTTCACTTTTTCCATTCAGATCATAATTCACGCGGTAACTTAAAACTTTTTATTAAGATAATCTGCTTTAAAAAGTGTCAACTATTGTGTCTTCAATAGATCATTTATTTATATTATCTACTTTTCAACACTTTTAGATCGTCCTGTTTACTCTTTCCTTTTTTGAGCCTATAAACCTGTTAAAGCTCTTTTTCTCAGAAATAACGCATTTGAATTAAATGATGGAGGAAATAAATATATTTGTGTTTACTTGACTCTTCTGGCAGTTCTTAATCAAGGAATTATCAGCCAAGTAACAACGTCTCTTGATGCCGCTGAATTTTTCTTTTGGCTTTTCTACCACTGTTAAACAGACTGGTGTATTTCTTTAGAGAAAAACTTTGGCTCACTTCTTTTGGGAATTTGTGAAGTAATTTATTCTGAAACTTTTTTAAGTTTAAGTTACAGCTATTTTGTTTGAAAATTTTACCGACAATGTTAAATAATAATAAAAATTTTTTTATCTATTTGAGCTTTTGTTCATCGAAAAATTGTGCTAAAAGTTACGAAAAGAAGTAAAACGGGTTCATTTAAAGAGAAAAAGACAAAACAAATGAAGGAACCGAAATGATGTTAGTCAACTGATACTGAAAAATTCAGAAAAAACCGAGTCCATGACTAAAAAGTGCAAAATGTTCCAGTGTCGTGAATAAATATTAACACACTTCGGTTATTGATTAAATGCCACCATTTTACTTTGTTAATTCAAGAGGTTGTATACCGACATGTCAGCATAATCGAATAAGTGAAGCTGAAATATTTGCTAATTTCTAACACGTTTCTATTTGACCAGAAAAGATTGCTTTAATCTACATTTCCAAGTTTCCTCAAATTCGTATTTGTCGCTTGTTTACAAATTGACCACTGGTAATTTTTACAACCGCTAAAAGTTGCCGACATGTTTTATAGCAGCATTTCTTTTTTGTTTTAACGACTTTATAACTTGTTTAGAGCTTAAAATCCGGTCACTCTAATAAAAATCTTTATTAGGGGTTTAATACTGGTTCTTTTCAGTGTTTGTAAGATTGAGATCAAGACGAGCAACAGACAAAGTGACCACGGGAGGGTGAAATGATACATCGAGGATGGGACGATGGGCAGATTGATGGCAGCGGAGGTGGATTACAGACTGTTACTGATGCCGGGGTCGGGTGATATTCCATTCCTGGTCTACAGTACCTTTCTGAAACCACATTTATTATTCCTCTTTGTTACACTAAAATATAATACTTAAAAGAAAAACCATTTTTTTTTCTCAAAAAATAGAAGCTGTAGCTCTTAAGAGTTGGTTATATTGAACAGTAACCAACAGCAAAAAGGTGTTAAAACAATATATTTCTGAGCAGAACAGAGAACTTCGAATGAATCAGATGACATTAAAAAAAGACATAAAATTGAAGGTAATGCATCTTACTTCTAATTTTTTTCACCATATTTTTTTTTGATGCTTAATATATGCTCTGTTAATAACTTATCCATTGTTTTTTTCCTTGATTCTCATTGAAACTTTTAAAAACAAAGAAGTTTTTACTAAGATAAAATGTTTAGTCATGGTGCGCTGCCGACAATTAGTGCGCATTAATAAAACACCATAATTGCTGAGTGCTAGTTTGGTTTTCGCTTAGGTGATTGCTAAAGAACAGCAGCTGTAAGTTGTCTGTATTATCAGTTTTCTCTCTTATTTGTGTAGTCAAATGGAATTGTCTGTAAAATAGTGAGCATTAATAGTGTTCAGTCTTATTATAAAAACCTATGAAAGAAGTTGAAGATTATAGTACATTTATCCTCTAAGAACAGTAGTGGTATAATTAGGTGATAGTCATTTGCTTATTTTCATAAGCCTCACAAAGATGCTAAAAATGTTTGAATTATACTCATTTGCAAGGTTTAGGAACTATGCTATTTTACTAGTTGGCAGCACACCCTGATTCTTAAGTGAAAGACTTTAATTAACAAAAATGATAACCAACAGCATTGTCTTTAACTAATTAATGCGAAAAATTTTTCATAGCATTTTTCTCTGTATAAGCAGTTTTGTTATGACAGATGGAATAAAATTAGAAATAAGTTTCATATAAATTACAGATTGTATCCATTTAAAACGTCTGAAAAATTTTATTCCGAAAAGTCAGTGAGTGCTATAGCTATGCCAATTAGTACAATTATCCAAAAAATTTTTGTATTTGTGATACAGACAATAATCTTGAAGAAAGTTTAATTTCTAAAAACTCGTTGCGTATTAAGAACTATTTTACAGCGTAATTCTGAACTCACCAGATTTTGCTGTAAGATACATTTGGTAGCCATCATTAAAAGAAAATGGTGGTGGTCTTGGCCGGAATGGTATCGGTACCAGAGGCTTCGGTTCAGGTAGTGGTGGCAACCCAGGTGGTAATACTACGTCGCGCTCTCGGCCACAACATATGTAACGTCTTATATCAAGAGCGAATTCACATCGGTAACTGTAACAAAACGAACAAAATTTTTGCGAAAACTGCAATGTTGACTCGACTTTAAGTTTTCGAAAAAAACTGAGGTTACCCGTAAGGACAGAGTTGATAGTAGCAATCTCGGAGTCGATTTCCAAAGTCTATTAGTGGAGAATCGTCTGGATTCCGGCAACGTGGTCCTCGTCGTTGAGGAACTGGTCTACAAATTGAGTAGCTTTAGTAATATAGAATTTGTTTAAAAATAGAAATTTTAGACCTAAACTTCAAGCTATTTCAAAAGTTGCTTTAAAATTTTTATTACAGATCTGAAAAAGAAATTATTTTACAGTGAAGTGATATGGTAACCCAAAAACCACAAAAATTCTATGAGTTCACAGTAACTTTTCTTAATTTTAATTAACTTTCAAAAGTCGTTACCTACTTAATTTTATTCAGGTCATCAGTTTATATCATATAGTAACGGCTTGACAGCTCTGACAAGATAATTAAAACAATCAAAAAGTTATTGAAAAGCGTAATCAATTAGGTAAAATTAATGACCAAAAAACGCATTTTGTCTTAGTTTACCTAATTGTTGTCGTTGTAGGTGTTGTAGTTGTTTCAGGCGTAGTTGTGAGTCTCAATCGGCGTGGTCGTTTGGTTCGTTTCGTTCGCGGCCTTGGCGTTGTTTCCACAATCCACTCTTCATCATCCGGTTTTACAGTGTTGAACACAGAACCAGCATTGGTTTCAGGTATAATCGGTTCAGCCGTGCTACCTGCGCATACGGATACTTTGAATTTTTGTGATTAGATCAAAATAAATAAGAAAAAAGCTTTCTAGTTGCAAGTTCCTCTGCAAACTTATTTGCAAATACTTCTTAATGAAAAACATAAGTGGAATGTAAGAACATGTAAAAAGTAAAAATACTTCCTGATCCCATCACTAATGATTCATTTTCATCTGGTTCTGCTCCCCAACAACAGTAATCCTGAAAACATAATTGATCTCAGCAACGTCTACATTTTGAGACTTTCACACTCATAAAGATCCTGTTGTTTAAACCTATTTGTGCTAAAAAAGAAGCTTCACAGATGTAACAGAAAAAAAGTTGTCCCATAGCAAGAGTGTCTAACTTTAATCGTCTTGCCAAAATTTGTTTTCTTAAGCTTGGTTTAATGAAATCCTCCACAGAATCTGCTTCGTAAAACATTACATAAACCTAGACTAATTCCGGAATCGGGCAAAAGTTGACTAAAAAATTTCACCAGGTACACTTATCACCGACTAAAAGCTCTTACTTAAGCCATACAAAAAAATTACTTGAAAACCAGGTATCAGAATCGGAAATCTTTCACAGACTGTACCTCCCGGACATGTTGTTTGATTGTAGTACCCGAGCTTTTGTGTGCACTGCTGTAAATCTCCACTGATAGGGTGCACATAAACTTTATTACCTAAAACGTTGCTGCTGCCACAAAAGAAAATCGAATTCTTAAAATAGTGACAGAGAATTCTTTTTTGCTTCAAACAATTAGGGGATTTAAAAGGCTTATGCATAAAAAGGACTTTTGATACTAAATAATTGTGTAAAACAAATAGAAAGAATATAAGAAAATGAATTTTAAAGCATTTTTAGGCCTTTAAGCCTTCTTATCGTACTGTAATGTCACACTACATTGTGGTTCTTATCATCCAAGGGATAAATGTTTGAACATGAGTACAAAATGTAAACAGAATACGGAAATAATGACTGTCGTGTATGTTTAGCTCTTTAGCTTTGATTCTGTTATCGGCTGTGCTGCTGTTAGACTTTTTCAAAGCAATCGCTTGAGAAGCAGATTTGTAGATCCCTTACCTTTATGCAGAAGGTAGACATGACTACATCGCTATCTGTTGATGAAATAATATCGTTCTTAAAATTTCACTTTCACTGATAAATTTGATCGTGTATTTAAACGAACCTAAACTGTAGTTTTCTCTACTTCGTATCTCGCTTTGTTTCAAATTTAGCAGATGTAATTTTACTAGCTAACTTTGATTAAAAATTGAAGACTCAGGAAAAGTAGGAGTTCACGATAGTATGTTTTGGAACAATTGGAAGAAATATTTGAAAAAATGAGCTTTGAGATGAATATTGAGAAGACAACATTATCATTTATTAATTAAAGTACTAAAAACTGTTATTTACACCCAATTTTCAATTGCTTCATTTGGAAACACAATAAAGTGACCAAGTGAAAAGTGAAGAAATGTAATATATTTGAGTGGGTGAAACAGAGTTGAGAGTTGATTCACAGAGTTCCTCTTTCTCTTTATCAGATAAAGACTGCTTTTTGTACAGGCACATTTAGACACCATAACACGTTATTTAAAACTGCACTAATTATTAACTAAAAAATCACGCTCCAAATACTTAAGCAGCAGAAAGAACCTTTTTGCAAAAAATTTCTTTACTCTCATTCTTCTTCTTTCACTTCCCCAAGTGAGAAAATCCAAAAAAATTAAGAATGATTGATTCAAGTTTGAAAGTACAGAAAAATTATGAAGGTATCCGTTTGCAGAAAAGCAAATGTAAAACAGTGAAAAAATTTTCCCTTTGTGTATAACGTTAACCATTAATTGAGCAATTAAGAAAAATTTTTACAAATGAAGCTGAATAACTGTTCTTTCTAGTTACCTGTATCAAATAAATTTCTAAAATATTTTTATCTGCACTACAAGACTTCCCATTTTAAGTGCTCTTTGTTTTTTCTGAAAATAATTTTTTAGGTCTAAATTTGATTCGGGTAACAACTGAAACTTCGAACTAAATTGGGCTGCTATTTCACTTTCTTATGGCTCGACTTTTAATAACGGCGAGGTGCAGTTACAACTGTGAAAGATTTCCTTTAAAAAGCATTCTAATGTCAGCCAGAAAGTGACGTAGAAGCTACATGTAGAAGTTACTTGATACTGACTTCGTAAACTTTCTATTTTTTTTTAATATACAGATTCAAGTAATCTTTGCGCTTAATCAAAAAATAAGCTGTATTATAAATTTAAATTTCTGAATGGTTAGTAGCCCGTCATTTCAAAACTGGCAAGACAGAAAGTGACAATGATTTTTAACAGACAGAATTTTTCCTTTAGCTACAAATTGATCCTGCTCGCTTTTTTAATAAAAAATGCCTATTAATGACAAATTTGTTTTCTTACGACGACTAATTGACCGAAAAGGGAAGCAAGATGATGAGCATAAAACGCGAGAAGAGACAAGAAGGAAGATAAGAGAGAAAACAATGTTTTTATTGCTAAAAAAAGCCTTAGAAAGTATTTTTAAAGACTTTGATTAAAGAATGTTTCTCGCGCACTAATTGCTCCCTGCATAGTTCCTAAAAAAAGAAAAAATCAAAAGCGGAGGGATCGGAAATAAGTAAAAGAAAGAAGCAAAGATTCGAAGAAGCTAGTAACACTAAAATCCGAAACAACGCAATGACAGAAAAGCACTTTAGGTTTTTTATTTACATTTTGTACTTCTTTAGTCGTTAAGAATAACAGAAGACCGCGTTTTACCATTTCTTATTGGTAGATCTTTAACGGTTCCTGCACACAACAACCATAAGTTTAGAACCCCATCGACAGTCAGGTAGGAAAAACTAATGTTTTGGGGTAAATTTTTTAACTGAGATTCACAGAGCTCACTCAGGAGCGTTAAATTTAAGAGGAACAAAAGGAAGTCTAAGGCCTTTGAGCGCACAAAACAAAGAAAATAGAAGACATAAAAACTTTTTTTGGCAAAAAAAAAAAAAAAACTAGTCAAAATGAGGAGTGTTCTTTCGCTTTTAACAGTCATTATCAGGTATAAGAAAGGAAACAGTAAAGGCAAAAAAATGTTTTGTCAAAACAAGCATAGTCAGGATTTGAAACACATTAATTATTACAGCGAGACACACCTCAAATGCATCTTAAAGTTCATCTTTTAAAAAACTGACAAGAACTAATTTGCTAAATTATCCAAGCAATATGTCTTTCCAGATCTTAACAATAAAGGAAAATTGCTGGTTGTGAATTGTCAAATGACAGTTACATACTTAAACCATCAATTATTCATAATTCTTCAT